AGTACAGAAAATATCCTCTTTTTCCTTATGTTGAATAATTCAAGAAATATTTATATATGTGGGTCAACAATATTTTTCAACTTTGATGAAGAAATAATATTCTACAATCAAATCAGTTTTATTGAATTGGGTAGAACAGGATTGAGGGAAACAGGCTTAAATATCTTTCCTTAGAAAACATGAGCAATATCCCCAAATTATTCATCTATTTTTAATGATAGAGGCAAATTCTGGATACTCAGAACACATTTTTTTTTTTTAAGATTTATTTATTTATACAAGCACTGGGTACAGTCAGAAGCGCGGGAAGGTGAAAGAATTCACCAGAGCCAGAGCGGGGAGCAGAGCAGGCAGACTGACTGAAATACACTGCTGAGGGGAGCACTGCGGAGGGCGAGACAGGAGAGGCCTGCCGCGCCATGTGGGACCCTCACCAGGGGCCGGGGATCGAACCGGTGCTGCAGAGGCGGCGGGCAGCTTGGCAGCCCAGTGCTCAACCTCTGCGCTTCAGAACACATCTTAATTTTGCTGTAGGAATAAGCAGAAGTTAGATGGCCATCAGAACCAGTACAGTATCATGGGCTTTGCAGTCTTGCTTTGTCTTTACACGTGCAGTTTGGCTGGAAACGGGGCACCACGTGTGGTCTGGAAAAGCTATCACTGCTACAGGGCTCTTTCATTTCCCAGGTAACTTTTGACTTCCCAGACACTGTGCTTCCTCTCCTCTTACTCTGTCCCTCCTTTGATAATCCTAAGAAGAGCCTTAGGGAATCAGAAAGACTGATTCCCCCCACTATTCAAAGTAAATGCAGACCCCTAAGCACTATGTGAAACCAGTGCATGAGGGTCAAGCCCAGGGAGGAAAGGTCATTCCACTTCATGGAAGACCCCAGAACATCCAGGACAAGGTGCATCCACCCTCATCCCCACCATGAAGGAAGAACGTGAAAGTCGTATGTGTGTATCTTTTAAAAAAAAAAAAAAAAACCAACAAACATTTATTTATTTGTTTATACAAGCACTGGGTACAGTCAGAAGCACGGGAGGGTGAGAGAATTCACCAGAGCCAGAGCAGGGAGCAGAGCAGGCAGATGGACCGAAGTACACTGCTGAGGGGAGCAGCGGGCGGCAGGAGAGGTCTGCGCACCATGTGGGACCCTCCTCCGGTGGCCAGGGAGCAGCCGGGGATCGAACCGGCGCTGCAGAGGCTGTGGGCAGCTTCGCAACCCAGCGCTCAACCACTGTGCCACCGGGGAGGCCCGTATGTGTGTATCTAATGGGGTCCATCCACTCCTGTGGGGGAGGGACCGTCCATCTCCATGTGTGGGGGAGGGGCCATCCTGTCACAGCTGTAGATGAGCCAGCAGTAATACAAGAAGGCAATGACCAGGAAAATAATGGGCAGGAGAATTATGGAAAGAGAAGGCAAGAAAAAGATACCAGGAGTAAAGAGTAAAAAGGCAAAGACCTTCTCCAAAATGGGAATAATCTCAGCCAGGATGTCACCAGTGTGCAGGCCCCTGGAAGGGATCTAGTGAGGGGTGGCTGGTCCTGCTGCCCCGTCCAGCATGGCTGTGACCGTGTGGTGCTCATGTGTCAGGGAGGCGCCCACATAAAGCTAGCTGTTGGGATTAGTTGTATCTGACTCAGAAACATGTTTCCAAAGATGATGATGATTTTCATTATCAGAGTTTGTCCACAATGAGAACTTTGAGAAAAAGTTGTTCTTTCAGTAGCTTTTCAGCAAATCCTAGTTAAACAGGAGTTCTGACACATTTTCTCTGAGTTACAGCCTTTATTCAGTAGCTCAGAATGGTTTGCTTTCATCTTCTACATCCTGCACTGTCCTGGTAGGCTGGCTTCCCCTTGTTAAGAAAAAGAAAGAGAAAAGTACTTGAAGGAGGAGAGCTTGCTGACTTTTGAATAATTCATACAGCAAACTATTTTCTAAGAACCTGACGCTTTATGTATGGACATTAAAATCTGTTGTATGAATGAATGAGTCAATTAAGGAAGGAAGAAACAAAGAAATATCTGTACAACACAGATACTGTTGCTTGGGCTTCCTAAAATGTGTTATGCCTTGGAACTGCATATAAAATTTTATTTCATTTAGATTCATAGGTCACTGTGATTTATGTGCTTGCTTGAATCCATTTGAATAACTTATTTTGATGCCAATTTGTTGTCTAAGTTTAAACTGAATTATTCTTTGCATCAACAAACCAAGTGATGGTTATTTTCATTCAGTTATAGCTGTCCAGGCAAAAGTCATTTGACCATCCATTACTGTATGCATGCGGGCATAACATAGAACCAAACATGGAGGGAGAAGTTCTGCATTCCTCAGGAAGTGCTCCGTTTATGTATTTATGGAGCATTAGCAAGTGTTTATGTTGATTTAAGGGCCTAAGGAAAACAGTTGACTTCATGTCTTAGAATTCTTCCTGCACACATTGTAGATAAACTTTTTTCTTTGGCTTTTTATTATAAAATAACATAATTTTGTTCAATATTTCAGTATAATGTTGATGAGAAAATAACAATCTCTCCTACTTGACTAGAGGACATTATTCGAGGACCTGGTTTCATTATAGAGTCATTTTGCTGAGAGTCACATTTCCAAAGACCTATTTACAGTGTTAAGTGAGGATTTACTGTGTTCTTCAATTCTAAATGTTCAAATAAATGTGATGTATTTCACCTGGAGGAAATATGGGCAGGTGAACTGCCTTTATACCAAAATAGTGTCCTTTTCAGGGATCATGACTGTTTACCTCTGGGCCAGTAGGTGCTGGCTTGATGGGAACCCTTGACAGCTAAATAAAGCACAGCCTTCCAGAGATGCAAATGTAACTATAAACATGGACAGTTGTTTTTCCAAGAAAAAAATTTTTTTTGAATTCTGATTCATTATAAGACAAAAGAATGTTTGCTTTTTTCATGAAACTTAAGATTAAGGGAATTTTATAAGAACAGTCTAGAATTTAGCAAAGCAAGTATTCTTGAAACAAAGCCTCTCAAGAGAAGTTACTGTTATTTTGATATAGATCTCTGTTTTTCGAGATGTTTAACTCTTAAAATATATTACAAAACTGATCTGACCATTTTCATAACAAAACTTTGCTGTGGGAGCTGGGAGCACACCCCCCAGCAAGAAGCAGCTTCTACCAGGGCCTCGGGAGTCAGACAGTGGGGCTCACACACTCATCCTTGCCACTTAACAGTTGTGACACTTTGAGGTCTCTGCCTTCCAGCTTCCTTGTCTGAAAAAAAACAGGATTAACAGTGCCGGCTTCACAGGCGGGCTGCAGCTATGAAAAGAGGAAAGCACTAGTAGAGTCCCAGGCACATACAAGGTACTAAAATGCAGCATGAGCAGCTCTTAGGCTCATTCACAATTGTTTATATATGGGGCTTTTTAAATATATATTAATATATAAAATGATATATATTACATCATTCTTCCTTTTTGTATAATGCATGTTTTCTCCTTTCAGATGTAGTCCCCACAAAAGTCCCATCACCAATTCACCCGTGCACCATCACAATAGTCCCTTGTGGGGCCTCCCCGGTGGCACAGCGGTTGAACACTGGGTTGCAAAACTGCCCACAGCCTCTGCAGCGCCGGCTCGATCCCCTGCTGCTCCCCGGCCACCAGAGGAGGGTCCCACATGGCTCGCAGACCTCTCCTGCCACCCGCTGCTCCCCTCAGCAGTGTGCTTCGGTCCTTTTGCCTGCTCTGCTCCCCGCTGTGGCTCTGGTGAATTCTTTCACCCTCCCATGCTTCTGACTGTTCCCAGTGCTTGTATAAATAAATAAATAAATCTTTTTAAAATAAATAAATAAAACCATAGTCCCTTGTGTAAAAACACATTCCTGCCCCTGTTTTGATCCCTTTCCCTCCTCCTTCCCTGCTGAATGTCTCTGATTTATAGTTGCCTGTTAATTTTATTTTTTAATTTATTATAATTATTTTTTTTACTGATCTCTTATTTGGTTCCCCTACATTCCTCCTATAAATGAAACCATCCGATATTTTTCTTTTTCCTTCTGGCTTATTTCACTAAGCAGAATCCCTCCAGCTCCATCCATGTTACTGCAAATGAATTTATCTTTTTGATTGCTAAATAGTATTCCATTGTGTAAATAGAGCACATCTTTTTTTTTTTTTTTTTTTTTGTGGAACCCTCACCTGTGGCCGGGGATCGAACTGGTGCTGCAGAGGCTGTGGGCAGCCTCACAACCCAGCGCTCAACCACTGTGCCACCAGGGGAGGCCCATACAGCACATCTTCTTGATCCAGTTGTCTATTTTTGGCCATTTTGGTTGTTTCCATATCTTACCTATTGTAAATAGTGCTACAATAAATATATAATATAGGTTTTATTTGCTGCTGGTGATGTATTCTTAGCAAACATCTTCATCCATTCATTTGAAAATGTATTTTTTGAGTGCTCACAGGAACCAAATGAAAGAATAGATAACTACTCAGAATAGATAACTGTTGATGGAAGTGAATATAAAGACATTTTATTTTCTTAATTGTATGGACTTTCAACCTTCTCAAAGAAAAACCAGTTTGGGGACTAGCGAAACAAGTGGGGAAGATGCAAATTGTATTTTGTGAAAACTATAATAAGTGCTAATACTCCTTGGGAGGAAAAGAATCCAAATGAGCATTGATGTATTTGCCGTGGAGTGCTTGGAATCTTTATTTGAACCAAAATAACAAGATAGTGCTTGCCTCAGATGTTGTCCCAGGCACTCGTATGTACCTGCTATACATTTGTCGGTGAGAACACAGAGGCCTAGACACGAGAAGGGATTTGCCCAGATTCCAGGATCAAATTCAGTCCTGTGCAGTGCCTACTGCACACCACTGCCCCCCCACCCCACCCCACTCACCTCAGAGGCCTGCCTTCCCTGGAACATGAAGGCATGACACCATTCTGGCTTCACATGCCACGTTGTTTCCAAATATGTTGATCTCTCTGCAGGAGGATAGCCCTCTGCCCCCATGTCTCCACCTTTGAAGGACTGACTTACTCCATCAGCTGGTGCCTCTTTGGACTCCTGCCATGGGGCCCTCTGGGAGCATCCTGAGCAGCGGACAGATGCAGCTCGTCCTGTGGGGATGTTTGGCAGCTGTCACCACATTCTTCCTCATCACCTTCCTCATCTTCCTCTGCTCCAGTTGTGACAGGTGAGAAACCACGAGTATCCACTGGAACCTTCAAACACATTCCCTGTCACCAGAGGACTCTTGATATGAAAAGCCTGTTATAAATAGAATCCTACCATAGGTCCACACAAGTTTCTGTGCTGAGATTAACTTCTCTGCAGTAAAGGATCCCAGAGTATTATTGAATGAAAATCCATATTTGATTTTTCTAGGGAGCAACTGAAAGAGCCCCTTATGTGAAACTTCCCAGAGTGGTATTATTGATGCTTTTTCAAGTACATCCTGGTCAAAATGTCTGTCTTTTCCCATCTGTAGACCTTTAGAAATCTAAATATAATGTGCATTAAACATTTTTGCTGCCACCTGAGAGTTACTGAGAAGTTGTGCTATTATGTGGCTTTGCAGGGACCATTTTTTAAAGTTTTGTAATCTAGAACTGCAATTAAGAAACAGTAGTTTTCTTAAAAGAGAAAAATGCTCTGTGAGAGATATTCATCTTTTTTTACAATTAGGTCTCTCGCTCTCTCTCTCTCTCTCTCTCTCTCTCTCTCTCTCTCTCTCTCTCCCCACAACCCCTCAGTCCTCCTCCTTCTCTCCCTCCCTGTCTCTGTCTCCCTCACATAAATTTGTGTACCCACCTTCCCACACACATTCACACACAGAGAGATCTTGTCTCAGAGAGAAGCAGAGTTTATTCTAAGCAGGAGTATGTATTTTCAGGCTGGTGAGACCCTGTTTCACCATGTGCAGCCTCCTGGGGGCCTGGTTACTGGGAACCACTGTGCCGTGTAGGCAGCTCAGCTAGACAACCCTCTTTAATTCCCTTCTCAGTAACCTCGGAAGAGACTCAGCTCATGAGACATTTAACAAGCTGGATATGACTTCCTACACTTGAGTCCCTGTCAAAAACGGAAAGATTGGACTCACTATACTCAAGTAGCTCCTAACCTCTGGGGACGCAGGCCCCCAGGGAGGCTGGGAGGAGCCTGGTCAGAGAGAGGAAGAAACAGGCCAGAGTTTTTGCTCCCCTGGGCCTGGGAGGAAGGCCTCTGTAGTAACTTCCTCGCCCACTAGGTGTCACTCTTGATTTACACGCATATGGGAAAGGGATTCTCGTGCTGATGGCTTTCTTTAGACTGTCCTGAGTAAAAATAAATTCTATTTTTACTCGTCGGACTTTTCCACAGACTGGAGGTACAAATGACTCATTCTGAGAGCATGTACCCTTCACGACTTGCCAAAATTTGTATTTTCTTTATGTGCTCAATCCCATTGCAGCGTGTGAATATGCAAAGATTTTGAGTTCTGAGATAAAAAAAGAAAGCAAAGAGAGAAGGATTGTCTGGATGTTCATTAAACAGGAACCTACAACTTACCTTAGTCCTTTGGTTGAGAACCTATATATTCTATTCCTGGGGGAAGGGGAGAGTGACAGCAAGTAAACCTAGGGAGGGTGATAGCGAGCACTGTCCAGCTTCTGCTTCTTAGGCAAGATGCAAGCTGGTTCCTAAGAGAGCTTCAATGTTGATCAAAACTAGGATAAGTAAGGGGAGTGTACATTTGATTTTGGGTTTCCCATGTGATTTTACAATGGTTTGTTTTCCATTTCAGAGAAAAGAAGCCCAGACAGCATAGTGCAGACCATGAGAACCTGATGAATGTGGTGAGTCCGTGTGTGTGTGTGTGTAAACCTCAGCCTAAGCATGTCCCCACATGCTTATCACCTGCAGGAAGCCGAGGGGAAGAACTGCCCTGGCTGTGTCCTCTTTCTACAGGTTTAATATAAAATTCACCATAGTTAGTTGCCTGCAGTTAGCCAGGTTCATTGCAAGTGTTTCTGAAATGGATGTAATTGTCCTGTTGCCAGAAAAATCCATTGGCAGCTCCAGGATACCACAGAGATGTTTCTCTTCTGCCCCTGCCTACCACAGCCCTGTATTGGTTTACTAGGGCACTGGTAACAAAGGACCACAAACTGAGTGGCTTAAATAACACATAGATTGTCTCAGTCTGGAGGCTCAACAGTGGAATCAAGGAGTGGGAGGTTTGGGTCCCTCTGAGAGCTCTGAGGGTGAATTGTTTCTGGGCGGCTCTTAGCCTGATTGCTGACAATCTTTGGGATTTTTTAAAAAAAATTTATTTATTTATGCACACAAGAACTGGGGTACAGGCCAGAGATGCGGGGGTGAGGGGGCGGGGGCGGTGAGAGGATTCACCAGAGATAGAGTGGGGAACAGAACAGGCAGACTGACGAAATACACTGCTGAGGGGAGCAGCGGGCAAGACAGGAGAGGTCTGCTGTGCCATGTGGGTTGCTCCCTGCCTGGGAGCGAACTCATGCTGCAGTGGCTGAGGATAGCTTCACAGGATGCGCCTTACCCCTTGCACCACCAGGGAGACCAAATCTTTGGGATTTTTTGATGTGCAGATCTCTGTCTCCATTGTCAGGTAGTGGTGTTCCTGTGTCTCTTCATATGGTTTTGCTTATATGTGTCTGTCTCTATCTAAACACCCCCATTTTACAAAGATTCCAATCTGACCTCATCTAACTGATTTCCATCTAAAATCACATCCTGCGGTTAAGACTTCAATTTATGGGGGCCTCCCTGGTGGCACAGCGATTGAGCGCAGGGTTGTGAAGCTGCCTGCAGCCTCTGCAGCGCCAGTTCAATCCCCGGCTGCCGGGCAAGGGTCCCACATGGTAGGCAGACCTCTCCTGCCGCCCGCTGCTCCCCTCAGCAGCGTATTTCATCACTCTGCCTGATCTGTTCCCTGCTCTGGCTCTGGTGAATTCTCTCACCCTCCCGCGCTTCTGACTGTACCCAGTGCTTGTATAAATAAATAAATAAATCTTATATATATATATATATATATATATATATATATATATATATAACACTGCCTCTTCCCAGTGTTATTAAAAAAAAAAAAAAGACTTCAATTTATGGATTTTAGGAGATTCAGCCCTAACTGCTCATCACTGAACTAACCAGAGCCTGCAGTCACAAAGCCTCCATGTAGCCTGGCCTGCTGCACCTTCCGGCACTCAGCATCTGTCTGAAGGCCCCTTACCGTGGTGAGGAGCAACCAGGGCCTCCAGGCCTGCCTTGTTCTCTCCTGTCCTGGTCATGCCCTCATCTGACTGGGCAGTTCCACAGTTCAGAATGGGTCTGCCCTCATGTTCACAGGGCTGGCTTAATCAGAGTCCTGACCAAGCCTGACAGCAGTACTAAAGCTGTGAAGAGGCTTCCTGTCTGTGACAATATCTTCTCAGGACCAGACAGAAGCAGATGGGGGAGGAGTGGGGAGTGTGTCAAATATGTAATACCAGGTCTGGTATAAAACATGCAGCCAGAAGACAGATTCAGAGCTCACGCAGGTGTGCATCCAGTCCAAGCCTCCGTGCCCTGCGGAAGCCCTGGACTCGGCAGCCCAAGCAGACAGAAAGTTGCCTGGACTCCTCTTTCCTCCTGGAAGTCCTGGGGTTTCTACTTTCCTTCTCTTCTTCTCCCCATCCCTTCTCAGCACCACCTGCTCTTTACCCTTTTCCACACCCCAGTCTCTAGTTGCCATGTGCCCCCTGCTCCTACGCTCAGCACCTCTCTGCTGCCCCCTGCTGGTTGCCACTGTGGTGGCATCATGAGGGTGGGTGAAGAGATCTGGGGCTCCCCTGCTCTTGCTTCTCCCACAGACACAGTCTTCCTACCACTCTCCCCAGGGACAGTTGACAGGTCAGATAGGGAAGCATCAGACAGCTCAGAAAGGACTTCCTCCCCATGGCCTTTTGGCGCTGCTGTGCTCCCAGGTGACACCTAGGAGCTGGTGAGACATGTGATTCTCCTGGGATAGGTCCAGGGCATCCGGGGCACCTTTAACAAGACCCCAGGTCATTTTGATGGGGCTCAAGTTTGAAAATTACTGTTCTGGACCTTCAGGTTCACTGCTTCTGCTGCCCAGCCCTGAGTGAGATGAGAGAAAAGTGGCAAATGGGTCAAAGGAAAAAACTGACTCTCCATGTTTTCTCCTCATGTGCCCCATCCTCAGTTACTAAACCCCCATGGCCTCTTTTCTGAATGTGTGTGGGAGCTCTCTAAAGCCATGTCTGTGCATGCCCATGAACTTGCACACACTGCAAGCGCTTCTGTATTGGCTTCTAAGTCTTAAACACTTTTGGGTTTTCCATCTCAGGCCAGAGAAGCCCCTGTAGTAAGCTTTCCCCCTCCACACCTGACTCCAGCTCTGATGCGCCCCAGTCCCAGCAGCCCTGCCTTAACTCTTCACCAGCTGTCTCGGGGGCTGCTTCATGGTCTGCACCCTCCTGGAGCTACAGAGGCCAGCAGGTTCATTCCTGGCTTCTCAGTTTAGAAATCCAGAGGGCATTTTCTCTTAGAAGCTAAGAATAGAAATGATTGGTACCTTGATTTTGGTAATTCCTCTGTGCTGGGTCGGTTATGCCAATATGGGCCACCTAGGAGCCTTCCTCCCTCACACCCAATTCCTGCCCATCATGTCTGTGATGTTAGCACCTGCCTCTCAAGTTCCTGGCAACCTGATACGATGACCCCTCTCACGGTGCTTTTGCTTTTGGATCGTGACACAGCAAGAGCTATTTGTGCTCTGTTTTCATTGGTTCCCAGTCAGGAGTCAGGATTTATGAGACCAGCTAGCCAAGGTTCTGGTGCTGTTTTTATCAGAACTTTCCATGTGTTATCCTCGCCTGTGTGGACGCGCATACCATGAGAAGAACAGGGAGCAGGTCCTGGGAGCGGGGCTGCAGGCTGTTATGAAGCACAGTTGACTGTTCAAAGAAATACATGAATTACCAGGTTACTCTCAGACTTATCAGAGCCGTAGCTCAGCCTGCGGATCACCCCAAGTAGTAGCCACACAGTCCAGCCCAGTAGTGAACAAATCTTCAACGTAATTCTCCACTCCAAGCATCCTGAATATGTGTGAATAAGAAAGGTTTGCAGGCCTTCTTCTTAGCAGATGATTGTTTTTGTGAACCTGGAAGCAGAGATTTAACTGGTTATGAAATAGTCTCAGAATCTGGGCCTTCCTGGTGGTGCAAGGGGTTAAGTCTCAGTGTTATGAAGCTATCCGCAGCTACTGCAGCATGAGTTCGATCTTCAGCCTGCCAGGGAGCTGCTCTGCTTTCCTCAGCAGTGTTTTTCAGTCGATCCACCTGTTCTGCTCCCCACTCTGTCTCTCGGGAATCCTCTCACCACCACCCCCATACCTCTGGCCTACACCCCCAGTTCTTGTATGCATAAATAAATAAATCTTTTTTTAAAAAAAAGGAAAAGAAATAGTTTCAGAATCTGCAGCATCATCTCTCTCTCACCAGATTTAAGTCTCTTCCATTCAGATGACAAGGGCAATGTCTCCTGTGCTTTTCACCCCAGGACCCTGTACATGTGATGCAGGGAGAGGCTGCTCTCTGCTGGATCGAGTTGACCAGCTCTGCGGCTTCTTGTTCCCTCCCTGTCCAGAACTAAGGGGGCTGATCTTTCAGGACTACCTATAACCCATTTGTAGATTGCCAGGCACTACAGAAGCCTTGGCAGAGTCCCAGTGCCGTTAAGACTCCAGGACAACCCTGTCCAATAGAACTTTGCACAAGGTCTCTGTGAATTGCTTGATGCGGTGACCGCTACCCATACTAGTGAGCACTTGAAATGTGCTCAATGCAACTGTGGAATTCACCTGTATTTAATTTCATTTAACTTAAAGCTAAATAGAACATTTGGGGTTTGTTATTTTTTTTTTAACTGAAATAACGTTAGACTGTAAATTATATAAGTTTCAGGTATTCATTGTTGAGTATCAACATGTGTTACATACAACATTAAGGTCGCTGCTGAGAGTCCCTCCTTCACCCTACACTTGTCCCTTCATCCTGTTTTAATTTTTAGAAAATGTGGCTAGTGCTTCTGCACACTATCTGATTCTTAGGAGCATGGTGCTTTTGTCTTTGCAGCCTTCAGACAAGGAGATGTTCAGTCGCTCAATTACCAGCCTGGCCACAGACGCCCCCGCCAGCAGTGAGCAGAACGGGGTGCTCACCAACGGTGACAGTAAGTTCTGCAAAGCTGCTGGCTCTCTGCACAGGCCTCCTTGCCTAGGAAAGCACTAGGTTTCAAAAAATGTAGCTCAAAAACTAGAAAATGTGTTTTTACACATTTCTAGTATCCCCACCATTTAGCAAAAGTAATCTCATGTGGAGGAAGAGCTAATATTTATTCACTGGCTTCTGGGTACTAACTACCCTGTAAGAATACTATTAATAGTGACTTTACTAGTCCCTATAGAGCAGTTAATACTACTTTCCAAAGTTTCCAGATGAGGGAACTGGCGCACTTTGCTGCGAAATGAATTAGCATAAACTCAGTGCTTTAAAACAATACAAATTTATCGACTTTCAATTTCAAGATCAAAGTATCAGCAAGACCATGATGTTTCCTTGAGGCTGTATGGGAGAATCATTCCTTTGCCTGCTTTAGCTTCTAGAAGCCACCTGCATTCCTTACTTCACCTTTCCCTCCATCTTCAAACCTCCAACACCCCTACCTGCCTTACAAGGAACCCTGGTAATAAAAGGAACCCTGGCTATTCTCTTCCTTACCTTGTAGCCAGCTCTTGGTTCCATCTGGCCCCCTCGTTCCTCCCTTGCCATGTAACCTAACTTATAAGTTCTAAAGATTAGGGCACAGCGATCTTTGGGGGACCATTACTCTGCTTCCACAGGGAGACTGATAATTTGCCTGAGATTTTGCAGTCACAGCCCTGAGCTGTAATCGGAACCCAACAACCTGTGTCCCGGGGCATCCTGGGAGCCACTGCGTGTGCCTCGTTCACATGCCTGCTACTTTCACCGACAGAAATAGCAGCTGCGTTTGCTTCCCACTTGCCAGTTCACGAAGTGATTTTACTTAAGATAGGTTATCCTGTTACCCCCATTTCTTGTAGGGAAACTGTGAGGTGATCTGTATTAACACTGAAGTCTGGGAACAATGACACTGATGTGTAGAACCAGAGGGCAAAAGTCCACATGTGCACACACGCCTACACACACTCTGATAATTAAGTATTTAGAATACAGGTGGGTGTGGTGTTAAGTTCAGAAAGGTTGAGAGATTCATTATCATTTTCCTTAGTTACCCCCTAGGGTCAATATTTCTGAACCCTCAAAATGAAACCTGTCCTTTTTTTTTAAGGACAAGAGCACTTCATTCATTCATTTATTGAGTTTTTCATGTACAAACATGTAGGTGTGTTTATCACGTGATTGACACTGTCCTAGGCTCCAGAGAGCTTAGAGCATCCCAGTCTAGTCAGTAAAATTAAAAAAGAATGGGTTAAAAATCTAAGTAAAAAAAAGCATTAAAAACCTTACACACACACAAAGCCCCACACACACACACAGAGAGAGACTGTATATAACATACAAGGAATATATGTTGCAGAAGAGTATAAAACTAAAAAGATATATAATTATATACATGTAAATACATTTTAAGTGTACATTTACATTTATATCTACTTATACCTTTTATCTTACATATAAAAAATATCTATGTAAAACTATTAGCATGAAGACAGTAATTTAAGAGCTTGTTCAAGCAGCAGAAGCACCGGGAGGCTAAGGCTCTGTTTTGGTGAGTGATGGCATGTCTCTAGTATCAACCAGCCCTGGCACATCATAATCACTCACCACCAACAGATAAAAGGTGACTCAGTGGCTTCATGCAATAACATTGCTGTAGCAATCAGGCATTTCACACTTGGATTTTCTAATTTGAGGTAGAAATGTTGGGGGTAGAAATGTTGGGGTAAAAGGAAGACCTAAGAGGCTTGGGGTGTGTGATCTTTCATGATGCTGCTTTAGGCTGCATTTTGCCCAGTTGCCTCTGTCATGTCTGCCAAGCAAAAGTGACCTGGGAATGGAAACCAATGATTCTCTCAAACAGGAGGAGGCTAATAAGGCCAGGGAGCGTGATCCCCACACACGCCCCCCTTTTAGTGCCCAGGTCCCCACAATTAGCTTTACAAGTTTTCACTTTCATCGTCTGGTCACACTGGATACTTTGCCTACAACAGTCCCATCAGGAGTAACAAGAAATAATGAGAGTAACTAAACCATGTGAATAGCCAAGACGATTGACTGACTATTGTACTGGGAAGACTCTGGTTTAAACTGTGACTAAAATAAGACTAGCAACTGAAAGGCATAACATCTAGAATTTGCAGCCTTGAGTCAACCTCCAGGTTGATGTCATCTACCTTACCATTATCCTTTTCACTGTAACAATTATCTCAGGAGTTTCTTCTCCACTTTTAATCCCTCTACCACTTTAGTTCTTTCAGAAGACAGTACTATGACCTGCATGCAACATTACGAGGAAGTCCAGACATCAGCGTCAGATCTGCTGGACTCCCAGGACAGCATGGGGAAGCCAAAATGCCATCAGAGCCGGGAACTGCCCAGAATCCCTCCTGACAGTGGGGTGGATGCCATGCTCAATGCCAGTGCAGATGCAGATGGGGACCAGGGCCTGGGGATGGAAGGGCCCTATGAAGTGCTCAAGGATAGCTCGTCCCAGGAAAACATGGTGGAGGACTGTTTATATGAAACTGTGAAAGAAATTAAAGAGGTGGCCACAGCGGCACACTCGGGGAAAGGCCACAGCAGCAAGTCAAAGTCGACTTCAGCTTTGAAAGAACTTCCTGGACCCCAAACCAATGGCAAAGGAGACTTTGCTGAATACGCCTCCGTGGACAGAAACAAGAAGTGTCGACAAAGTGTTAATGCAGAGAGCATTCTTGGAAATTCATGTGAACTAGAAGAGGAGGCCCCACCACCCGTCCCCGTGAAACTTCTGGATGAGAATGAAAACCTTCAGGAGAAGAAAAAGAGACGGGCAGGAGAAGAAGGAGCCACAGAAGGGGCCGGGGAACCTAGCAAGGTGAGCTCCAGCATTCGCGTTGCACCCACCTTTGTCAGCATTAAGAATCTAGCAAATCCTGAGGCTTTTACTTGCACATTGTTCTGGGAAATATATACAAACACTTTTACTTTGTTGAATGATGAAATCTGTTTTAGTGTAAGCTGTGTTTGACTTTTTTCTTCCTCCAAGTAATAAAACACTGGAAACGCATGTTTATAAAATGTTTCTGTCTTGGCACCTTTCTTGGATAGGTTCCAGCTTCTACTTCATGTCTAATTGGGGCCAAGTAATATTTTCCTTATTTTTGAAGACCAAGAATTAGAGAGACTAGTCTTTCTGCCACACATTTATCTTCTTCCTCTTGGTGCCTCAGGGGGTCTTCACCCTTCTGGGATCCCAGAAATCAAAGCAGAGGAGCATATGTGGAGGAGCTCACTGCACTGCTGGGTGTATCTGATCATACATTTACTTTTATATAAGTCAAATCAGAGATTTTGTCTTGTGACAATTTCAAGACAAGAACCTGTGACTCTTTAGATTTTCAGCAAAACTCTAAAATGCTTTAACAGTCCACAAGCCTGTGTGTGTGTGTGTGTGTGTGTGTGATTTCTTTGTGATTCCCTAAAGATCATTTTAAAGCATTGTTTATAGAGAGATGCATCAAGACATATGCAAACGAAAGGATGGATTATTGACTTCAAAACCACTTTCTTTCCCTTGGTCTGTGTTTTTTTCTAACAGAGATTTAGTTCTTTGTCATATAAGTCCCGGGAAGAAGACCCGACTCTCACAGAGGAGGAGGTGAGCTCTATTTTTTTTTTAAATAAATTTTATTTTTATATTCCCCATACAATTGCAATCCCCTTATTTTGACCCCAATCCCTCCCCTCCCCTCCTCGCCCCCCACCACCCATAGAGTGTCTCTGGTTCATAGTTGTTTGTTGATTTTGATTTTTACTTTCTTATAGTTATTCATTTGCTGGTCCCTTATTTAAGTTTTCTAGATTCCTGCTATGAGTGAGACCATCCGGTATTTTTCTTTTTCTTTCTGGCTTATTTCACTGAGCATGATCCCTTCCAGTGCCATCCATGTTGCTGCAAATTGCATGTGTTTATCTTTTTTGAATGCTGAGTAATATTCCATGGTGTATATGGAGCACATCTTCTTGATCCAGTCATCTATTTTTGGGCGAGTTCTATTTTTTAAATACCCAGAAAGCTTTCAAAATACAGAATAGAGCTTCTCTCCTTGTGTAAATGTGCTGACATGTTACCCTTCTCTGAGAAAGTTTAACTACTCCTTTCAGCATATGTATGGAGATCAGGGTATGGGATGTTGGTTTATTAATGCTTCAGAGAGGGGACCGAGAGATGGTAAAACAAGAAGGAAGCCAGGATGAAGAGGTTAGCTAAGTAAAGGAGACATGGTAGGAAAGGATCGGGAAATAAGAGAAAGGGGAGAGAAAAAAACGAGGAATGGAAAGAAAGAATTGAACTCTGGGGGGCTTTTAGGCAGTATTCAGGAAGTCCACATAACAAGGAAATGAACTGTGGGTTGAAAAACACAGGAAATTGCAACAGGTGGATATAGGGAAATTGATCCAGTCTGGGGACAGAGGGAGAAGATCTCCGTGAGGAGCTTGCGCAACAAGAGAGCAGAAAGCTTCAGGAAGTATAATTCCAGGCTGTAACTAAGATCAGACATAGAGGCCAACAGGAAAGGATTATATATTCTCCCAAGATCTGGGCCTCAAAACTCACTGCTTGAACTTTCAGTGAAACATTAAAGTAAAAGCCAGTGCAACCGTTACTATGTCAAGCTAGACTCAGACTGCTGAACACCTTGATTTACCTAGCTGCATATAGCTTCCATCTGGAATTCCAAACATAGTAAGGCTAAAATGTTTACCAAAATAATGTGTATATGCATGTAGACCACCTGCTCTATACGGCTCTCAGAACTAAAATATGAAGATAGACATAAAGCCCATGTTGAAAGTTCAAGGAGCACAAGTGCTTTTTGTAGATGATATTTCCCACCCCCACTGTATTTCCTTTCCAGGGAATGGACCTGTCATCTGGCTACCTTTGCCCAATCCAAAACGCTGGGAGTCATTCTTGACACCCCATTTTGATCAGTATCCTCAGATGAAGTCATCTAGTTTTTTCCATGCACTGTCCCCCATCTCTAGTGTGACCACCCCTCCCGAGGCTGGGGCAGTGCCCTCCTGCCAGGGCTGCGGCAGCATCTTTGCCTTCCTCCTGTCCATTTGCCACACAGAAGCCAGAACGATCCCATCTGGGATAAGAAAGTAGAATGAATAAGAGATCTGGAAATGAATCCTTTGAAACAGATTCAGACTATGTAAAATTTCATTTAATTACTTTTTTTCTTATATTTGCTTTTGGTTTTTGAAAATAGGACCTAGTTAAATGGATGAATTTTTAATGTAGGTAAAGACGGGTGATTCATAGATATTTATTTTAGGAAAAAGGCTTAGAAAAAATAAATATGGAAATCATTTATTTTTGTATTCATATAATGTAATGTTAGTCCAGACTGAAACTGAGAAATGCATTTTAAGTACTATTATACCAATTTAACAGAATGATGGGGAAAGGGTTGATTATAAAAGAAGTGGGGGAAAGGAAGAGAGTAATTTCTGAGAACAAAATAACAACTTACAGACTGAATCGCAAAGATGAAAAGATTTTAAAGAGACAAATTGAAAAAGCTAAATAGCAAGGGGACTTGAAGAGAATCCTGTATACAATATAGAAATGATAGTCAAAGAAGACAAATATTCAAAAGGAATATGAGAAGACTGAGGAGCTTTTATGAGAGCTCAAATTCACACTGACAGCCTGTGCACATGAAGTTCATAGCCAGAGACAATATTAAGCTAGAAGCTAATAAAAAAAAAAAAAAACCTATAATTTAGAAAAAGGTTCCATATGCCAAAAGGACCCAAGTACTTACAAAGACTGGGAGAGTTAATGACAGGGCCCAAGGGAATAAAATTGAGGAGCAAAGCAAGAACAGTGATTTTTACAATGTAGGCAAAACTGCTTGTTTTCCTTGATGTTACTCTGGCCCAAGGCGAGGAATAAATAGCCACTATCCTGGCTCCCTCATCTCTGATACCATGATTTACCCCTTTATAATCTGTCCACAGTTTTGACTTGTGCCTCCTTTTGGATAATAAAGACCCTGTGTTTGTACCTTGCTGTGAAAAGCAGAATTTTTTTATTCTTCCTGAATTCAGAGAAATAATGTCTTCATTAAAACCTCTGTGACAAGAATATTAATTTAATATTCATAAGAACGGTCGGATCAACATGGCAAAAGTTTCCCAAAGATGTTTCTCTGACTCCAAACCTTTGGATTGTCAAGGCCTGGCAAAACCGAGCCACCAGCCTGTAGTGAAAAGTTCTCATGCAAATGACCAGTTAACACACAGCAGGCCTGTCTTAAGAAGCTTTTGAGGCCAGCTGGAAACTTCATCCACAGTCTGTGAGATATGTGAAAGCAGGAAAATATCTCCCCACACTTGGGAAGTCAAGCATCTGTCAGGAAGCATGTTCATTTATTCCCTGAGTGTTTGAATAAATCAATCACTGTAGCAAAGATGAATACAGGTAATGAGGGATTTTTGTACTTATTTCCAACCATGATTGCTAACAATAAAATAATACCCCCCATCTCTTAGTCAGTACATTTAACTTATCATTATAAAAGAAAATTAAATCCCTCTTGGTGCAAGCTGGTACCTGGCCTGTGTTAGTGAGGCTGGGTAGGTGTGCTTGGAACACGAACTGCTGCTCCCATAGAAAAATGTCTCAGAAGTTCTTTGTCTCAAGTTCATTTCTGAGTTTGCTGGTTGCAAGTAAAAAAAGATTTCCCACAGAAGAGAACTTATTCTGGTCTATAAATGTCTCTTTAATAATATGTGATGAAGTGAAAAATTAATAGAAAATGACATTTTTATGACATGTGTGTACTGTCCACCGCGGTCCAGAGACTATTCTAGTCCACTGTGATGCAGGAAGAGTGGGCCAAATAGTCTAATTCAGTACTCCTCACGCTTTAGGGGGCATAGAATCAACACAGATTGTTGGGCCCCACCCCCAGAGTTTTTGCTTCAGTGCTTCTGAGGTGGGCCCCAAGAATTAGCTTTTTTGATAAATTCCCAGATCTGCTCCTGATGGTTTGAAGTGCATATTGAGTCTTACTCCTCTAATACCTTAATACCTGTTTTCTGCTTTTTTTTTTTTTTTATTTAAGTAGTAGAGTCATTATTCAGGTTCAGTGTCATTCTGATGTAAAAATCAAACAAAACTTGATGCTCTGGTCATATCCTGGGGATCTCTTGAGCTGCCCACTCCACCTGCTGTCCTCATATCCTTTCAGCAGACCCGGAGAGAGGGCAGTTTTCAGTATGCTAAATTACTAATCTACTTACAAAGTTAAAAATAATTTGTATAATTATTCTCTGGTAATGTACCCCAGGATTGGTTCAGATGATAAAGAACCCTCTTCTGGATATACAGCTGAAAGAAATGGCATGAAAATGAAGAGCTATCAGCACCCACATGTTCGTTGCAGCAGCATTCTTTTTTTTTCCACTGCAGCATTATTTTTTTTTCTATCTCTCTCCCCCATCCCCTCCACCCTTTCCCATATCCCTCAACCATTATCTTTTTTTTTTTTTTGCCAAGTTCAAATTTTTATTTCTTCTATTGTTTGCATTTAATTGTATTTTTGGTATTTATATTCCAACTGATGGGTAAAACCATCCAAAATCTCTTTCATTTTTTGGTTGTATTCATTTAACATAATCACCTCAATGTCCATCTGTTATGCACCAAATGTCACCGCTTCATCTTTCTTCACAGCTGTGTAATATTCTATTTAATGCATTATGCCCCATAGTTTCTCTGTACATTAATCAGTTGGAGGGTTATTTGGGTTGGTTCCATGATTTGACAACTGTAAACAGTGTTGCTATGTGCATTGGAGAGATAGCAGCACCCTTATGTTCATTGCAGCATTAGTCACAATAGCCCAGATATGAAAACTATGCAAGTGCCCATCATTGGGTAAATGAATAAAAAAAGTTTACATATATATGAATATACATATATATATGTATATATGTATATACCCACATGTATTCATGCACAATGAAATATTCAGCCATTGGAAGGACAAAAATTTTGCCTTTTGTGACAAGATGGGTGAACTGTGAGAGCATTATGATAGGTAAAATAAGTCAGATCAAGACAAATACTGCATGTTCTCGCATATATATGGAATTTAAAAATACCAAACTCATAGAAATGGGGAATAGAATAGTGGTTATGAGGGGTTGGATAGTAGGGGAAGTGGGGAGATATTGGTCAAAGGGTAAAAACTTCTAGCTGTAAGATAAATAAGCTCTGGGAATCTGAGGAACAATATAGTGACTATAATTGACAGCCCTGTATTATACTTGAAAGTTGCTAAGAATAGACCTTATATGTTATCACCAAAAAAAAAAAAAAAAGTGGTAATTGCAGTAATGGAGGTGTTAACTGACCTTTCTGTGGTAATTATTTTACACTGTAGGTATGTATCAAATCGTCACATTGTACATCTTAAACTTTTGCATATGTTATATATCAATAGTACTCAGTAAAACTGGGGAAGAGAACTTTCAAAAGGAAAACAAACAGATCTTAAAGGGATACACATGCACACACACATACACACACACTTGCCAGTAGTGCTAAGTATCTAGCTTATCTCTAAATGGGTTGGGGGAGGGGGAGAAGTGGAGCTTGAAGCTTATTAATTCAATTCACCCTTTTTTCCCCAGATCTCAGCCATGTATTCATCAGTAAATAAACCTGGACAGTCAGGGAATAAATCAAGACAGTTGCTTAAATCACCAGAGTCCAGCTACACCTCCATTCAAGGAACCACTCAGAGACCCCCCTCTTCCTGTAATGATCTCTATGCTAATGTTAAAGACTTTGAGAAAACTCCCAACAATGTCCACGCTGTTCCACCAGCAGGGAAACCCAGTGAGGAGCTGGAGCCCGAGCCGGATTATGAAGCAATACAGACTCTAAACAGAGAAGAAGAAAAGGCCACCCTGGAGACCAATGGCCGCCACACACTTTTCCCGAAGGAGAATGACTATGAGAGCATTGGGGACTTGCAGCAAGGCAGAGATATCACCAGACTCTAGCAACCCAGAAGACAACCCCAGATAACGTGTGCTCAGCTGGCTGGGGACATTTTATCCATGGAAGATAAGAAGCGATATCAACCTATACAGTTCATAATGCTGCTTTAGTAAACTGAAGGCAACTGGAGATGCCATGACTTTTCCAGTTGCGGAAATAGTGAGGTACGCACCTGGCTGCACCTGTGGGTGTCCCTGCCTCTTCTGCAGGTGGTTCTGGCTCACCCCAGCACACCTTCCTCATGCACCCTCACCATTGGGAAAGGTCCCAGCTGCCTGTGGCTGCATCCTGTTAGTGAGGAAAGCCAAGGCGAAAGGAAGAGCTGCACTCATCGAGAACCACACTCCACCCACCTAAAATACTGCCATTCTGAAAAGCCAGGTTTTTTTGGGTTTTTTTATTTCCCTTTTGCTGTCTGCTACAAAATGCATGGGGGTTGTTTCCTTTTAACTCGCCCAGTTTCTATTGGTTCATTCCAAGGAGAGTCTCCCTTTGCCTTCAACATAGGTGTTTTATGATGGTTAAAACACAAGGTTGTTGGTTCCCATCAGCTCAGCAATCCTCTTCAAAGAGCTGCACAAAAATCCGAATTCTGCAGGTGGACAGACTGGGGACGTCCCTTGCAATTTTTCGGTCTCTTTCCTTCTGGTTTTGGCATTCCACCTCAGCAGCCTCGCCCAAAATACTTGAAGTCATTTTTAGATGCTTTATGTTATTTTTCTAATCAAAATGGTTTCCCCTCAGTATTTGAAACTCTTTAGAGCCTTTTCAGTATTTTAATATTGAATATTATGGTACTTCTCCACTTATTTTAGCCCAGAGCTCCTTCCTCCAAAACAGAGAGCCTTAATCTCTATGTTGGGACACAGACCACATAATTTGATGGCAGCCTGGGGTCTGTCTTTGAAGGGCTGTGAACTTGAATGTGTATTTCTGATGATCCCTGCTGCCCCCTAACAGTGTGGGATTTCACAAGTTAACTGCTACCCTGTGGTTATCTATCTAAGATTAAAATGTAAACATTTATTTTTGTTATATAAATTTATAAGATGTTTTATGTTTAATGCCTAATTTCTAGAAAGTGCCAGAAAAAATGTATATTAACTATTTTGGTTTTATGTACAATGATTTATAGTCTCTTTTGAATAGACACCATAAAGCACATAAGCTAGATAATTACAAGTAGTTCTTTTTTCTAACCAAGTGTATAAAGCATTGAAGGTTTATAAAAGACTCAACTTTTCAAATGGTACTTGGAACTCCTGGTCAAAATCCTCTGGTTCACTGGAGAAACAAGTAGAATAAACATAAATGAACATTTTCCATGGTTTGTGGTGGGCAACATTGAAATATTGGTAAGAATGGAAAGAACAAAATGACTGGGGTGACTGCAAATTATTAACCTCATGAAAATATTATAATTCCATTCAGGTATAGTGACATTTTTAAGAAAAGAGTGATGAATTCTGCAGTCCAGTTTGCAAATGCAAATTGCCTATTGGGATTTTTTTCCCCTTCCATTTTACAAAAATCAGTGGCTGAAATAACTCAGATTAAGAGCTCAGCTGGTTTGAATTTAATCATCTCTTTAGATCTTATAAGTCCAACGTTGGGAAACTTATTCACTTTTCATTTTAAAAGGAACCTTTTAAAGTTTGAAGTGCTATTATGAAGTGTGGACTACAGACAGGGAGCTGTTCCTACACCGATAAAGGAAAAATAAGGCAATTATTCCATACTGCTGTGACATCTGTGACTTTTCAGATTGAATAATCTTGCTGTTTTCACTCGTTATGACAAAGAATGCACTTGGGAGAATGAAGCATCTTGAAAACTGTAGAGACCGGCTCATTGGCATGTTTTTCTCTCCCTTGCATTCACAGCTTGATTTTGTGATTGCTCTGTAAAACATTTCTGAAATTGTAAAGTGAGCCACATTGGGGCAAACTCGTCAGTTGTCATTTTTCAGTCAGCCTGGTCTCTCCCATGAAAAGCTCATGTGCCTAAGCACAATCATCTGTGATTCGAAGATAATGGCAGAATATCATTGGATTAGAAGGAATCTGTTGGGAAAGTATCAGCCCCTTATTCTTTGAAATCACATCCGTCCTCAATAAACACTGTTTTGCCTGATAATTTTCATCATTTAGGATTAATTGTTGGGCCCAACCACCTCTCTGTCATGGGTTCTCACACTGCACACCTATGTCTATGCTGGGGAAAGTCTTTTGGGGCACCAAAAGTTTTACTGTATTTCATGACGTCTTACTTATTGCCAGGGAAATGGGTATAAATGCTAAAATGTAAAATCATGCCTAGAAAGAGATCATTATAGTATTATCACTTTGAAATGTCATTATCAGAACTTTCCCCAGAAGTTTTGAAATAAGGCTATATAGTATAGCCACAAATTCAGCATTGAGATCTCCCTCTCGATTTAAAAACCAGTGCTGTGAATACGTTGTGATATAAAGTATTATAAGTATATTTTAAAAGGAAACTATAGGCATTCCAGTACAAATCTTTCAAAGGTAAGTGATGGTACAGTCCATGAGGGTGGAGAGAGGGAGAAGAGTGACCTTAAGGAGACAACTCTTCTCTTTAACCACTGGGTACCTTATGGAAGTATGTTTATTAATGAAGTGTTATCACTGCTTTGACCTCCTATTTTTTTTTAAAGATTTTATCTATTTATGCATACAAGAGCTGGGGTGCAGGCCAGACATGCAGGGGGGTGAGAGGATTCACCAGAGACAGAGTGGGGAATAGAACAGGCAGATAAACTGAAATACGCTGCTGAGGGGAGCAGCAGGCGAGCCAAGAGGTGTCTACTGTGCCATGTGGGTTGCTCCCTGGCCCGCCGGGGATCGAACTCATGCTGCAGAGGCTGCAGATTGCTCCATAGTGCAGCCCTCAACCCTTTGCGCCACCAGGGAGGACCCTGCTTTAACCTTCTAATAGAGTATTTCTTGATTTCACCACTTTTATTTGTTGAAAGTCTGTGGTAGAATCTTTGAGTTGGACAAAACCTATGGCTACTTTTAAAATATTTTATCTTGAGCTAAATGTTGTAGAGTTTAAATGTATGAAAGGTAATTATATAAAAAGAGGAGAATTTACTATATCTTTAAAATTTCACTTTGGCATCTATATTATACATTCCACGTTCATTTAATATTATGAAATGAATAATTTTAGGAAATTTTTTTTCTTACAAATCAGAATTATAAACTTACCTTGCCAAAAAAATAGGATCTTTGTTTTTATTTAGATATTTTAAAAGTTTAAAAGAATTTTTTAATTCAGTTTTTACTATTTTTCAAATATAGTCAGCAGAAATCATAACCTGTTTTATGTGATATGTTTAAGGAAATTTTAACTTCTAGAAGGAGTTTTTGCAAATAAGTTAGCTACATATATATTTGTTCTTGTCCTGCATTTAATTGCATTATTAGGTCTGTTAAAACTTTTGAAGGTACCACTTCCCTTTGTGGGGAAATAAGCTAATTACTGGTCTATCTGTCCTCAAGTCCAATAGTTAATTCTAATTGAATACTAAATTAACAGTAAGTTGTCAAAATTTAACCTCATCATGTCACTGTATCTTACTCTATTTGATTTTCATTTTTCTAATTTGACATTTACTTATTTTAACCAGTTACAAACTATAAATATATATGATATACATATACATACATGTAGATATACAAAATTACTCTGGTGCTTAACTAATTAGGATTCATCCTATTATATATTTTGTAGGTATATCCTTTAGTGAGATGACTGTCATCATAAAGGCAACATTAGAAAAAACAGTTCTCCAATAGTTTTCATTTGGTAATTACAGGAAGACCTTCTTGAGCTGCCCTCATTTAATTTTTCTAATTAATACATTCAGATTTTAAATTGCGTCCATAATTCTCTTAGCTGAAAGACAGTAGTATTTTATAATAGTTTGATTATGCATGTGGCTCACTGAATATTCAGCCAGGTAGGAAGAACTGTAAATAGGTATCCTCAAATAGGATTTTAAGAAGAGATTTGGCCAAAAGCAATGAGAATAATTGTGAACCAGGATGGGACCTCAGCAAGGCGATCCCACCAGAAAGCAGAGCTGAGGCCCATTATCACATAGTGGCGTTTTATTTCATTCTCTTTAGAAACCACAAGATTTTACCACAGAATCAACAGGCAGTGATGTGGTATGAAGTGCAAAAAGTGCTCTGAAATGATGACATGGCGTGGCAAAAATCAGTTTCAGTTTAAGACTGAATTAGGATTTTGTAAATGAGTAAATGACATTGTTCCAGTACTCCTTGTATTAGTTCTGTGAGTCCGTGTGATCTAGTGCTTCTATTCTCCTCAAAGTGTTGATTTCTAGTAACTGACCAAATTAGCTTTGGCTGTTGGAAGCACAGTAGGTACTGATGGTTATTTCCTGGACATCTTGAAAGGTTTATTGTACTGTGTAATTGGGAAGAATTAAGTGTGTAATATTAGGTGTTAATCAGTGACTGATGTGAAAATGGGAGTATATGTCTATGCTCTCAATTATGGCTTTATTTGCAGTGACGTCTAAGTTCCTTGTCCTGTAGTAGTGTTTCCTTGCTCAGTGTTGTACTTTTTCTTCAATACATCGGTCTTGACAGTGGCGTTCGACACATTGCACACACTTAGAAAGTGTTTGAATTAATGAGCTCAGTCTAAAACTATGATAAATTAGTGTTCACCAGGAATTACCAAAGTCAATTTAAACAATCATGGTCCAGAAGAGAACAAACATTCTGAAGTGTTTTTACCCTACTCCTCGTTATTAAGTCTGTGTTTACATCGAGTCTCCACAGTTTATAAAGTATTTCACTGTTTTTCTAGTTTATTCTTTTATTTAACTAAGAAATAATTGCTCAGATTCTTCTTGATATCAGATGAAATGAAAAAATGCAATTTTTGTTAACAAGACAATTTTTAAAACATCCAGTTGGGTGACCATTTATCTTGGTGCAGCTAGATTTTTCTTTGCACACCACTTTATAATATGGGTATTTTTTAATAATGTATTATGCTCTGGTTGTCTCAATCACCTTGTATAATGGATTATAAAGGCTGGTAACTGTCATTCCTGAGACTTGCGTATGTTAAATTGACATCAGTAAAATGTTTCAATGTTGCTACCTTTTAAATAATTGTGTTGTATTAACATGCCTCATATTTTCAGGGGAAATTTGAAATATAGCTAAACAAATAGATAGGAATTTGCATTTCATTATTCATGCATTTTTTTTCCTCATAAAAATAGTTGCCAAAAAAGTGACACATTATTTGTTAGGTGGTCCCAATCAGTTTCAAAGTATCTCCCCCATACTCAAAAATGGTTCATGACATTTAATGGCATTTTGACTCATCTCAAAATGTCTTTGCAATTGTCAAAATTGTCCAATCCACAAAAGAGTGTGTAAGTTTTTTTTCAATATTGGGAATGTGTAAATCTTACTTTTTAGTCTGAAGATACCTCTTACTGGTTTCAACATTTTATCATTTTTTTCTCCTCCCTGAATCGAATCCTTTAAAGGAGTAAGGCTAAAGAAAGGTGGCCTGAAGCCCCTATTTCTTCCAGCCTTATTTGGCTTTTCCTATCACTTTGCATATACCACCCCTCGGCCTGCCTCTTCCCCACCACAGCCTTCTGGAGCTGCTATTCACAGGATGACCCTGTCACATCTTTTCTGATACAGATCACAAGCCAGTGTCACAGATCCTGCCTGCCAGCATAAACTGTGGTTCCTTGGTTGTTGAGATAAACTAGACCCCGGGTCTACCTGGCAAGTAGATGCTATTTGTCATAAATTTAGCTAAACCATCAATATACTTTTGCCCACATCTCTCATGAAAATGGTTGGCACTTAGGGGCCATGGAAAATAACTTTTTAAAAATTCTGTTGAGGACTCAAACTCACAAATGCAGAAAAATGAACTGACTGCCTAACCAGGTGAGCACAATGTCCCCCACGATGTATTGAGTCTACCTTGTGTCTCCCCAGGTAAATCTGGGAACAGCCTCAGCCCAACATTTACCTATCAAGTAGGAGGATGCTGATTATTTTGAGGTGAAAAAGACTTTACTTGTAATAAATAATCATTTATAAAATAAATGGAGTGTCACATTTTTAAAGCCAGGTAGCAATTGCAGCCCAGCAGCCCTGGGAAATAATATTTATGAATTATGTTAGTCCTAACTAGTTTGATCTGTTCACCCAGGCCTCAGGGAAATGAGAATATTCAAGCATCTAACTGTGGAATTACCTGATATTGAGAATAACTTGATCACTGACGGGTAAACAAGTCTCGATTTGAAGTGACAAATCAAGCACCTTTTAAGTTCTCACAGGAGTGGCTGTTGATACAGGATAGTGGCTCTTTCCACTCTAAGTCATCACAGTGAATTATTTGAATGGGTATTCTGGGGTGTGATTTTTTTTTTCCCCCAAATCAACAGGCCAAGTATCTTCTCATTCTCTTCATACATTCACTTTTTAAAAGTCCACCTAGTAAACCAGTTAGGCACCTAAATTGGATATTTAAGGCTGAAAGAGAGACCTTTTTGACCCCTGAGGCCTGCAATTCAGAATCATCTTACTGAAAAGTCTGGCTTTGTTTTAAGTTTGTTTGTTTTAAGTTGTTTTGTTAAACAAAAAAATACCTTTGTTTTAGGTTCTTTTAATTTTTTTTTTTACTGCTAGAAAATTGCATTTTAACATTATTAAAAGTTTCAGGTGTACATCATTATAAATCAACATTTCTATATATATTAAGTTCACCAGGAAACATCAACAAGTTGGAAACCATGAGGTTAAAACACTTTTCCTTTTGCCTTCTTTAATCTTAAGAGAATTTTTGTCTGATTTTAGTTCCCCATTTACGCAGTGAAGATTCCCCCTCTTCTCCAAAAATACATGCCCTCCACAAGGTAAAAAGACAAACCAAAGGCCTGAGCTGATCTCTGAACATCCTTTTAACAAGTTTTTATGTATTTTTCATGTAAAACCCATAAATGAGCCTGATGTGCTATTCATCACCCATCCCAGAAGTTCGCTTGCTTTTTGCATTCATTCATTTTTTGAATAGGGACTCTATAGTTTTTTCCTGGAACCATGTCAGACACTCCATTCCTGTGGGCTACTCCCAGCTGCTCACTGGTATCCTGGGCAATGCACGTGAAAAATATCAAGAAAGCTTAGTTCTGTGATCAAGTCAACAAACATTTGAGAGGATCCTGTATGCCTTTTTAAATTTTTCTTAATGCCAGATTTTTCTTTCTGAATGCTAACCATGTATTTAGTTAGGAGGGGGAGAGGACAGGAATTAGATGTAAAATTTGAACTACATGACCTAGACAACCACCCCCTACCCCACCCCTAACTCCCACTCACTCTCAATCCCCCACCCTTCCACCCCTCTAACTCCTACCCCCTCGACCCATTCTCACCCCTCACCCCCCATCCTGTGTCTCTATTTGTGTGTCTTTAAAATATCCTAATTCCTGATTTACCACTATGAGTCTCTTAAGGAATAAACAGTAAATATGTCCAAATGAGAATGATTATCTCAGAAATTTTAATTATTATTTAAATATTTTCTTCTTTGTAAACTCAGGAGTAAACCTGATAGAGAACCAACTATAGCTACCAAAACTATAATTTGTGACTTGACAGATCCTTTCAAAAAAATTTTTTTAAAGATTTCTTTGTTTTTAACTGGGAGCACTCTTCATTAAAAAAAAAAAAGCAAAACCAACAAAAAACTTCCTAGACTCATTCTAGAAGAGTGTGACAGCACTCTAATGGTCAGTCCAGAGTGTTCGTTTCTTGTCTGTAGTATTTCAAACATTTTTATGGGAGAAAAAAATGCACATTTATTTCTTGCAAAAGTGAGTTGGTGTTGAGTTAAAATTCTCAGAGGAGACAGTTTAGTCTAAAGAGAAGCATTGGTTTCAGAGACAAGAGTTCATGACTCTGTGACCCCTGAAGCAGCAGTGACTTTACTGTATATGCTTGAACAAATGATTTAACTTCTCTGTGCCTCAGTTTCTCCATATACAAAATGGGGATAACGATACCAACCATGGCCTACCTCTTAGGGATGTTATGGGGACAAATAAAATA